TGTTATTGTAATATAACAACTGTGAGACGCGCTCGTCGTTCATGAATTTCCCCATGGACTTTATTTGTTCAGGCACGAGTATTTAAGTGCCGGATTTTGTTGCTGTGGGGGGTTTTTTCTTCCGAAGTGTTCATATTGGAGCTTGGTTCTGATTATATTATGTATTATGAATATATGCAAACTTAATAAACTTAATTGAAATGATCCAATGGCGGGTGCTCTGGTGTGGTTATCTCCTTCTTTCCTATCAAACTACAATTTTCCTTATCTCTCCTCCTTTTTATTTTTGTTACTCTCTTGCAACTCCTCTAATCTTCTGGGGGCTCTTGTGGCCTAGAGTTTAAGGTGTTAATCTCTTATTCAAAAGTCCTGGGTTCGAACCCGGGTAGCCGCGGGAAAATTTTCTTCTCTAAAATTGTCTCCTTTCATCTCCTTTCCTACTATCTAGCAATGTTGTGTCGTCTGCTTTCGTCTCCGCTCTTTGCACCCACCCCCTCACCTCCTTTGCCCCCTCCTCTGGGCCCCTGACTCTTTTTGCAGTCTATCTACTGCTACTCCTTGGCTCCTTTTTACTGCTGTCTTTCAGCCACACCCCTGATCTTCTGGTAAGAAAGATCTGCACCTAGCCTTCTCGGACAAGTGCGAAAAATCTCAGGGGTCCCGTGTACAAGTTGCGCATGTTAAAGATCTCTTGGTCGTCTAAAATCGATAAGAGTAGGCTTCGTCCGTCACCCGGGCAAAATTCAAAATTTCCTATCAAACTGAAAATGTTTAATGTGTCTCGCGCGCTCATATGACCTTATGTAGGTGCGAGCGCCGTAAAACACTTATTTAAAAAACAACAACTAATCTTCGACCCTTATTTGACCTAATTGTGTTGTAACTGCCGTAAAATGCTTTCTTAAAGAAATGACCCAGACGAGGTTAGTGCAGCCCTATCCGTTTTGAGACGTAAGGGGCCAAAATAAATGCGAGAATCGTAGAACTCGATTCTCTCTTCTCATATTCAAACTTTTCATTGACGTAATCTGCAAACAAAATCTTCTATTAACTCAATTGTTTTTGTTTGTATAGGATTCACTTTAGAGAACAAGTTTGTTTTCTTTAATCAATCACGTTTCTCTTTATCTTCGTCTTTTATGCTTTTTGAAAATTTCCAATCATGGAGACTAGCCTTTGAACGCTTTTTTTCCAGTTAATACCAGGGAATGCAGAAATTAGCTGAAAGCCAGTTATATGTGTTATATTATGTTGTTTGTGGCTATTGTGGTTATGAAATAAACCAGCTCAAATACGTTTTTTGCTTCAAGTCCTACTTACCCCGTTATTGATCTCGTCCTTTCTGGACAATAATATGTCCTGTCTGTCCTTTGTTTTATAGGAGTATGGAATGCCATCATTTTGGAAGTAATAGGTGTTGAACTTGGCACATAAATGTAATGTGTTTTGAACTATTGTCTGTCTTCAGACGATGTCAAATATCTAAAGAATTGGTGTTCTGCAAAATGAATTTCGAATGATTTTCGGACAAGACCTTCTTGGCCTCTCCTTTCTCATGATCCAGCAAGGTATTACAAACTGAATATATACTCGACGCTTCACGACGCCAGAAGAGTGTCACTTTGTGTATGTGTGTGTATGGTGTGGTGTGGTGTGGTGTGTGTGTGTGTGTGTGTG